TGATCAAATAATAGCAACATGACGTACACATATTATTTAAGAATTGGGCAATCTGACCAAAAGAGATATTGACACCAAGAATTACTATCAGTAAGGATTATACAAATTATCAGATTAATCACCCAAAAGATCTTCATTACATCCAATATCAGTTTTATATCAGATCTAAAACAAAGTTTTACCTTGTCAGTTGTGTAGAGACCAGATGAACGTTCAGAGGTTAAGCTTCTCATTCATTGCAACCACAGATTTTGATCAAACTGCACCCTCTTTCAAACAAACAGCATGCCATCATAAATAAGTTGCATGTCGACATAAATAAGTTGCATGTAAACATAACTAAGTTGCATGTCGACATGAATAAGTTGCATGTCAACATATTTATCTCGCATGTCAACATAACTAAGTTGCATGTCAGCATAAATAAGTTGCATGTCAACATATTTATCTCGCATGTCAACATAACCAAGTTGCATGTCGACATAAATATGTTGCATATCAACATATTTATCTTGCATGTTAACATAAATAAGTTGCATGTTAACATAAATAAGTAGCATCTAGCATGTTGAATGTCACATGTGGGCGATATTTGAGATTTTTGAAGATTTTTTATAATTTTTATTTGATTGTAATTTTCTTGCATGTCAACATATTTATGTTGCATGTTGACATAACTATCTTGCATGTTAACATATCAATCTTGCATGTCGACATATTTGAGAGAAAAATAACTTGCACACAAGGGACAGAAATATGCCACCATACATATCTTTTATATTTGGCGTCATATTATGAAGTACATAATACCAAAAGATTCACAAATATGAATCTAATTAACATTGAAAATTTAACTTTATCATGTTTATTTGAATATATTTCATAGATGTTTAAAACATAGAGCTTAGGGAGTGTCACCGCGTCACAACGGAACGTCACTTTTTAAAGTGTATTTTTTTTTAGAATGAAAAAGACAAACACATTAAAAAGATTCTAAAAAGCACCGAATCTCAGAAATTTTTTTTAAGACACAACTCTTGTCATTTTCTAGTCTACAATTGAAAATTAAAAGACGGCATTGGTATTTGTGATCATAAATATAAAATATTGTTGTTTTACTCTGTTGAATTGAACAAAAGGATTGTCGAAATGGGGAAAAAAGGCTCGACGAGTTGTAATGCATTTTTGCTTCAAAATATGGGAATCATCACTAGCGACATTTTCGTTAATCAGTCAGACTTAAGGAATAAAGAATGTAAATAAGAGACATCTTAATAGATGGTTTCAGCAATTTTGGGCGGGTGATTGGTCACTGAATGATTAGCAGAGGTTAAGAAGACCGAAAGATATGAGATCGGACGGAAACGTTCAATGGTGTCTGATGTTGTCAAAAAAGACAGACGTATAGACTAATAGAGTGATATGTGAATTTTTAAGTTTGTCTGATGCTACTGTTAAAAAAATTTTGACAGAGAGATGAATTATGAAAAGAGTGTATAATAGTACCAAGAATTCTTGAAGAAAGTGGAATTAGTGAAAGTGTGTGCGAATCACAAATATTTTTTATGAAAAGAAGGGGAAACGCTTAAAGTATGACGGTGTGTATCCGTCATATGACGTTATATTTAGGTGCGGCGACTACCATAAACGCGCATTGTTTAAAATCCGATTTGAAATAAATAAAGCTTCCATCATGTATACGTATAATTTTGTTGCTTTACGTCAATTCATAGCAATTTTATCAAAGTTGTGACATTACTTTTGGATCAACCCTCGTATAATGGCCTTATTAACAAAAGCTCATTGGGGTCATAATTTAGCTGTTGTTTTCTATGAATAGTTAGACCATTATTTGAAATTCGAAACTATAAAATCTTGTGCATATGACTATACAGAGTATTCTGTTCAACTGATAGGGCTCGCAGTGTTTTAATTGTGATCAGTCGACAGGGGGGACACCTACTTCTACGCTACTGATCCCACGGTGTCTTCCCACTTAGCCAAAATTCTGAAAAAAGTACCGGTGACTGGTTTTGGCTAAGTGGGAATGGTGTACAGGTAAGGGGAGGGAGAGAACAAAAGAAATTAATTACAGGTGACCTATAGTCTGTTTTAGATTAACCCTTGAAAAAGTCTGACAATTAATTGAATGGTATTGAATTCAATATTTATTAATAAATTCATATTTTCAATTATTCAAATTAATTATTAATAAAAAATTAATTTTTCTTTTTAAATTTCATTTGCATTGATTTAATTTGTAATTTAAAAAATATATCTATTCATTTTTAATATCTGTGATTTGATATTTTAGCTTATTTGAATCTGGAATCTACCGTAATTCATGTGTTTAAATTGTAATTCATTTAATGAAAAAAATCAAATTAATCTAAAAAAATTGAATTTGATAAAATGATTGCATGATAAAATAATTGTTAAGGCCAATAGTGTTCATTTTCAAATAAACGTTTTACAAATAAATTATGCTCATACTTGTGCAAGATCAGAGTTATATAAGTTTTTTTCTTCTCTTTCTATCATTCAAATTACATGCATTTTGTTCATTTTCAATGTGCATCTGATATTAAGGGAGAAATCAATGGCTTTTTAAAATGAATATGGACATTTTTTCTAAAGACAGTGACTTTACTTCTAAATGAGATTTTTTGGTACATTATGAATTTAATATCAGTTTTGGACACGTATAATATTCTAGTGTACTAAATAAATCAAATTATATATTGATAATTTAAACAAATTTAATGTTACAACAATTGAGGGTTATATGAGTTGTGTTTATACTGTTTTGATTTTTTTGTCAATAAAATACTTATTTTTAATTGCACATATGCGTATAAGAAATATATTATAAACACACGTGTGCATGAAGGCACTTAATCCAATTTTAATCATGTGCGTACATGAGTTTTAATAATTAGCACTAATATTCATACATAATAAATTAAACTCAATTGCTTTTTCATTTTTTCTATCAATCTCTTTATTGTCCTAGTTATTTATAAGTAATAATACCAATATGTCAATTTTTTTCTTTCTTGTCTGGGGTTTAATTTTTTTTTATCTCTATGTTGATAAATGAATTTATCAAGTCATTTTTTTTAATTAATTTATTTAAATAAATCATGCTTAACATGCTCCATTCTCTTTTCATATCTATTGCTATAACCTGTGTTTTAAAATATAATTTTTTTTTTAAATTAATTGATATTAGGTATGAATTTTAAAATAATTAATAAGTAGGACTTTATTTATTATTCTTATATCTAAAACAACTATTCATGATATTTATTTATATGATTAATGAACTAGTACATCACAGGTAAATATTACAGGTAAATTAAGCATGAAACAGACTATAAACAGGTGACCACCCAGGTGTGAAAATCCCAATTTTGGCTAGATGGGAATAAGAAATTCAGAATTTTGGCTAAGTGGGAATAAAAGACCCACCTCATGAATTTCTATTAGCCCGTGTTGTTTTGGTTAAATATTTGGATTGTAAATAGATATTTTTACATCCGTTACTGTTCGTTTTCTTTACTTTTTTCATTGGTCATACATGGAAATATGGTGGTTCTATTTCCATTAAAAAATTAAACAACGAATTGACTTTCTGTCTTTTTAAAAGTGCCTCACGTAGAGATCAAATGTTTTTACTTTACTAGTAATTTTTAAAATTTTTCCACGTCTGTAAACATAAATGCAGAGACATTCTAGGCATTTGTCGTCCTTGTGAAGGTTTTGCGACATGTTGGCAATTAGAAAACAAGTTACATGCGCTGAATTTTAAGTTCTTTGACATAAATTGAACCTTAATCTTCTGTATGCAACGTAGTAGATCATCAAGAGTTAAAAGTTTAATTAAAATTGTTGAAAAAACGTTTAAAGCGCATTAAAGCATTGCTATGAATTCAGAGATTTTCCAAATTAGAAAAATTTTCATTACATATACCTGTCAACTCAAAACATGACGGTAAAGAACGAAAGTTGAACTTTTCATATCTTAATTAATATACAAGCAATAAAATAAAGAATGAATGTTTTAAACAAATGGTAACTGTACTGCAAGATATTGATTCACTGGTGTCTGTATTCTCCCAAATATTGTACCCAGTACTGGTACTTACTTACTTAGGCCTGTCGTTTCTTGAGAAACATAGGCCATCAGCGACAGTTCTCCAAAGAACTCGATTGTGAGCTGTTTTAGCTGCATCCTGACAAGTCATATCCTTTGTATTTTACTCTGAATCCGAGTCACGCCTCCAGGTGTTTCTTGGACGTCCTCTCCTTTTTTGTCTTGTGGGTTCCAAGTCAGGGCCTGGCGTGTGATTCCTAAACGTGTGTCCAATCCAGCCCTACTTCCTCTGTCTTATTTGTACGTCCATTGTTTCCTAGCTGTCCTGCTCTCTTCCATAGTTCTTCGTTGGGGATCCTTTCAGGCCACTTGATGTTGAGGATGCGCCTTAGACAGGTATTGTAGAATGTCTGGATCTCCTGCAGGGTTTTTGGTCAACCTCCACGTCTCTGCATTATACAGTAGGATTTTACATTGGAATTGAGGATCCACAGTTTGATGGTAAAACGGATGTTTTTTGAGGCCCAGGTGTTCTTTAACATGGTAAATGCAGTTCTTGCCTTGCCAATTCTTGACTTGATAACAAGACCTGTGCCACCCTGTCTGTCCATCACACGCCCCAGGTAGATGAAGGACTTCTCTGATGGGCTCATCACCAACTTTGACTGGTGTTTGGACAGTGCATGGTGTTTATCTTCATGAATTCTGTTTTCTTCAAGTTGATTGTTCCTGCCGAAGTTGTTGCAAGGCGAGTTGTTTTATCCTGCATCTGACTTTGGTTGTGTGAAAGGAAAGCCAGGTCATCGGCAAAATTAAGATCGTCGAGTTGTTTCCGGAGTGTCCACTGTATACCACTGTTCTTGCCTGATGTGGTAGACCTCAGGATCCAATCAATGACCAAGAGTTAAAGAAATGGTGACAGCAAGCATCGTTGTCGAACTTCTGTCTTGATCTTGAAATTCTCAGACATCTGGACAACAATGCCAACTCTGCATATCATGCCTTGGTAGGTGTTTCGAATCAGGGAGATTAACTTCTCTGAAATTCCATGGTTCCTCATTATCTTCCACAATGTTTCTAGGTCCACCCTGTTGAATGCTTTCTCATAGTCAATGAAGTTGACATAGGAGGGGGAAGGGATTTCCACTCCAGAGATTGCTCTATAATGATGCACAGACTTGCTATCTGGTGCACATGATCTATTGGCTATAAAACCAGCCTGCTGGTCACAGAGCTTTTGGTACACTGCTTCTTTCATTCCCTCGAGAAGTATTCTGTGGAGGACCTTGCCAGTACTGACAGGAGCATTACTGCAGTCCCTCAGATCTCCCTTCTTTGGCATCTTAATAAGAATACTTTCTTTCCATTCCTCCAGAATGTTCTCTTCCTCCCAGATCTTATTGATGAGGTTGTTTGGGATGTTATTAAACGGCTGTCTCTGTATCAGCTTTGAGGGCCTCTGCTGGTATCTCGTCAGGCCCTGTCGCTTTTCCATTTTTAAGTTTATTAATTGATCTCATGATCTCTGTCTTTGTTGGCTTATCGCAATTGATGGGAAGGTCTTTATTGGCTGGTTGTATGTCCAGAGGTGTTTCTGGTGTTGGTCTGTTAAATAGCTCTCCGAAGTGTTCTGCCCGACTATTCCATTGTTCTTCTTTTGTCTTTAGAGGTTTCCCGTTCTTGCTTCTCACTGCCTGTCTGTTTACTGGAACTTGTTGGAGGGCTTCTTTGTGATCATATAGTTCTTTCAAGTTTCCTTGTCCCACTGCTTCTTCAGCTTGTTTGGATAGGCTGTCAATGTAATGCCGTTTATCTTTCCTGGTGTTTTTCTTAACTTCTTTATCTGTGGCTGTATAGTCCTCTTGAGCTTTTGCCTTTGCTGTTCTTGGCCTGCTTGTACTCAGCACCGCTTTCCTCGCATATGCCATGCCACATTATCTTGATGGCTGCCATTAAGTCTCAATGTTGGTATCATTGTTTTCTAGCTGGTCTTGTAGTAGCTGGAATCTATTTGACAAGCTGAGATAGAATGCTGTCTTCATATCTCTGTTTGAGGACACTCATATTGTACCTTGTCCTCATGTTATTGAACTTCTTCCGGCGTAGTCTTAATGCAGTCATCAGCAAAAGGTGGTCTGATGAAATGTCTGCTCCTCTCATCACCTGACATCTTTCCATGCTCTTTGAAATTTCTTGTTGATGCGAAATGATCGATCTGCTTCTCTGTAACATGTTCAGGGGATCTCCATGTGGCCTTGTGAATCCTTTTCCTCCTATTACCAGCTGGTTTTGGGAGCATAAGTCTGCAAATTTCTTTCCGTTCTCATGTTGCCCAGTCCTTGTGTGTCCATGACATCACTGTAGCCAGTGTTGTCAGCTACAATCTTGGCACTGACATCGCCCATGAGCATTGTCTTTCTTCTGTTTTATCCAAGACTACCTGTAGTTGCTGGTTAAAGGCGTCTTTCTTTTCCTCATCAGCACCATTTGTGGGGGCATAACATTGTATGACGTTCAACTTGATCTTACTTTACTTGGTGTTAAACTTGTCTGTTATTATCCGGGAGTTGACAGGTTCCGATCCGATGAGAGCATGTTGTGCATCCATGAATAACATCAGGCCTACATCTTCAGTGTGGTGGGCTCCCTCCTCGGTGTGTCCTGAATACAACAGTGTTTCCCAGGTGGTTAGTCTCAGCTGTCCTGTCTGTAGCCATCTTGTCTCACTAACTTAGAAGTCCTAGGAGACAAATGTTGTAGTGCTTCATCTCCTTTGCTACCTGTGCTGTGGAATCCCACTGTGGGACATGGAAACCAGTCCTTCAGCTGAGACCGTATAAACTGAGGTTCCGTGTCGCAGTGAGTGCTGGTGCAAAAAAAATCCCTCCCTGCTCAATGGCCCTGAGTGCCACCAGCATGTGGTGGCATCTCAATATGAGTAAACATTCTCAAGAGGGACGTTAAACAATATACAATCAAATACATGATACAACTTTGGACTGAATTTTTACCTGAGGATGCTTCCAAATAAATATGATCAATTAAGGCCTTTTTATCCTAAATGTACACATTGTATTTTTACCTGATATTATGATCTATTTTTCATGATTCTTGAAGAGAATTTTCCTATATATTTCTATGTAAAACTTTGGTCATGCTTTAAAAAATGCTAATTTTGATACCTTTATATATTCCTTGTTGATCAAAGAAGATTTTTAAAACATACCACCAAATTTTCATTAATTCCCAATTATCTCCCCTTGAATGGCGTGGCCCTTCAGGACTCAAAACCCCATGCATAGAATGACCAAACAAGCAGTTTTGGACCAGCACAGTGATGTTCAGTATTCATTTAAATCATGTAAACATACATTTTCTATATATATCCACCCAACTCAACGTCTGAACACTGCCCCCGGGAGCCAGGATTTAGAAATAATAAATTTTTGTAAACGAATCACTGCCTTTTTTAATCAGTCAATTTTGGAGGGATTTGCCATTGATCCACTTCCAGGTCTGTACAATTTTTTTTCCCCAATATCTGTAGCAATTTCAGATTAATTTTCTATTATTATTTCCCTGTGTTTCAAAGCATATTTTAAAGTAAATTTTAATTTTTGATGTTTTATTGACAAACAAATGCTAGATCATTTAAATCTGTATGCAATTGAGTAATAAGTATATAAAACATATCTTCCATTCATGGATGACAAGGAAAATGACGACAACAATTAAGGGCAACAACAACAAAGATGACAGACAACAGACAAATTTTAATCAGAAAAGCTCACTTAATTGAGCCTTTGGCTCAGGTGAGCTAAAAACAGATGGTAAAAGGTGACCTGAGTCACTCAGGTGATGAATAAACTATAAATATGAACAATATCATTGTTTCTTGTTTGAACTTTTTAATTTTTATTAATGTTAAAATCATTCATTTATTTGATGTTTGGAGAATACACAATCAATTGTTACCTCTTGCTGAGAATAATCCAATTTATTGGTAACTTACAAATCAAGGAAAACTCAAAGGATTTTTCTCATTGAAAATCATCATGAATCAAATGGACATTACAAGAAATGTAGCATTAAACTCATTTCTCTGTAAAAATAACCATACATAGATCAGATGTTGAATTCTGTCTTTACAATTGACCTTTAACACTTTCCCCCTGCATTGAAATAAATTCATAACCTTGACCTCTCTGACAGGAACACATATACTGACAACATAACCAATTAACTTAATCTGTACTTCAACATTTCATCCCCATGCCCTCAGTCAACGGATAATTCATCCTCCACAATATTATCCTCTGGTGCCGTTATTTCTGTCTCGACAGCCACCTGTTCCTCTGCCTTGACAGGAGGCTCCTGCTGGGGGCATTTCTCCGGGACCTTCACTGGATCCACGGACGACCCGATATCTTCCTCATAATCTGCCGGCTTTACACTCTCATTAGAAGCATTGTTACTGCAATTTTCTTCCTCCCTCATTTCTGTGACACTGGATTCAGGGATCTCGGGGGAGGATCCCTTTGTTTTATCACTTGCCTCTGCCTCCTTTTTGGGACCTCCTTCCCCAGAGCTTGGTCTTGATTCTGTTTTTTCCTGGGAGTCCCTTGGTGATGTGCGTGGAGTTTTCTCCCCTGACCTGTCATCTGAACTCTGCTTTCTTGGCTTTTCTCTATCATCTAAGAAAAGAACAGGGCAACAGTAGCAAACATAGTGCCTTCTGTTTCTATTAATTATTATTAACAATTCCATTATTAAAGAGACTATATAAAGGAGTTTTCTTAAACATGTATCTTACCTTCAACCTAAAAATAATCAATTTAGTAATAATACATTCACATCTCAGATAACTTTAGGCCATGCAAAATTAAATCCTTGGTTCTCAGGGCTTTTTTTCAGGAAATATGATGAGGGAGGGAGGTTTTTTTTACTTTTTTATTGCCCCAAAAACATGACGAGGCAGCTTTTTACACTGTACAAAACCTCAAAAAATGATAAGGGAGGTGATTTGTTGATTTTATTGATTTAGGAATCAAAAGGGTCAATGAGGCACCCTTGGAAGAGATGAAGGAGGGCCTGTGAACCAAGAAATTAATTTTTCTATGGCCTTTTCCAAAGTAGAAAACTTACTTATCTGTAGGCATCAATATCTTTCAGTCTGTAAATAAAGTAATTATTTTGAAAAAGACTACCCACCTTTTTGTCTTGGCTCCCCTGCTGCTCTCCTTCTTTCTGCTGCCTTTCTGGGGTCATAGATTTCTCTCTCAGGCCTGTCCTAAAATTGTAAAAGCAACAAATATATGAAATATGATTTCTTTTCAATTAAAATATGTGTACCATTTTTATTACATTTTTTTTGGAAATGGACTACCAACACAAGTCACTTATTTATGCACAATTAGCTAGTGCATGTATCAGACATACTTTGAGTGAAAATTGCAGTCAGCTTTGATTACAAATTTTAAAGATATAAAAAATTTCACAAAATTAAAAATACTCAGATTTTGCAACTTTGTCCCTCTTTCCTTCCCTTTGTATATAAAATTGTCCTTCTTTCCTTCCCTTCTGTATAAAATAATTTTAAAAATGCTGGTTTTGAAGCCACGCATCATTTAAGGCTCTCCATTACAAGCTAATCCCCATTTGATTACTGACGGACAAAATTTTAAAACTCATATCCCTTGAAAAATGATATCACTTTATACATACATACATTATACATTGAAGGCATATAGTGAACAACTGAAGTAATGCAAGAGTTACCCTTCTTTTCTTCTTCTTGTCTTCTAAATCATCCCTACTTCTAGATTTCTCCAGCCTTTTGCTTTTAGATTTACTATCCTCCCCTGCTGAATCCACCGAGATTTCTGATTTTGTGTCACTAGAGTCGATATCCACGACTGACATCTGTTTCTCGCCTTCACGGCTCCCTCGTCTGCTGGACGTACTCTTGGAGCTGTCATCATCTAACGCCTCCTCTACCTCTTTGCTGGCTGCAGAGGTTTTCCTCTCTTTAGTGGTATCCTTGTCTTCTGACTCTTTTGAGATAGAGGAGGATTTAGTATCATCAGTTTCCTTCTTGTCTTTGAGATTTGTGTCCTAGGGAAATTTGATATATTCTGAATCAACCACTTTTTGGCAAATATATATTTCTTAATGCATCTATATTTAGGTAAAACTTTTAACATTGAATTACTGAGTGTTTATATATATTCACCTCTCCTTTCACTGAAGTTTTCCTCTCAGTGTCTTTCTTCGCACTGCCCCTAAAAAATTATCAAATCTTAAAAGACTTTTTAATTCTTCCTAAACAAGTACAATACATGTAATTATTGAAATCAACAGAACAGCAAGGCTTAACTTAAAATTTCAGTTGTTTTTGATTAATTTACTAGTTTCTATTGATGATTTGTTTGCCACACACAGAAATGAATATTTCCTACCCGTTACACTAAGTCCTTACCCTCTTTCATTATTCCTCTTTTCCCTCTGTCTATCCCTCTCACTCTCTCTATCTTTGTCCCAGTTTCGATCTCTTCCATACTTCTTGTCTTCTCTGCCTGTCTTGTCCAGTCTTTTTCCAGATTCTGGACGTCTGTCTAACTCCTGCCTATCTTTTCTACTCTCAGCTCGATCATCCCTGCCAAAGCCCCTTCCTGAATCTCTTCCAGATTTTGGACGGTCCTGATTGGCTGCTGATTTCTCATTCTTCATTTTCTCCCTGTTTTCTTTAGAGAAGCGCAGTTTTTCTCTTTCCTTCCTTTTGATGTCCTCATCTTTGGCTGACTTTACATCACCCCTACCTGATGATGGCACTTTGTCTTGTTTTTCTTCTCTGTCAGGATTTTTCAACAACTAAAATGGTTAAATGAAAAGGTATATGTATAAATGTATTTTTCAGCATTATTTTATTAACGGAAATAACACTTGTTTATCTAAATAACAACAAAAGAAACAAAAAAAATTAAATTAACAAAAGGAAAAAAATTCATAACACTGTAAACCAGGTTTTATTTGCATATGGGAAATATCTATGAGTTTTACAAACTTATTTTCCTCAAAAATATTTCTTACTGCAAATAAATTATTAACATGTGTATTTGTGTTTTAAAATGTTTCCTCCATTGGGAAAATAATTGCAGATGGAGTTTGAAATGATGAATCATACTGCAGAAGCACAAATTTTGGTGGGTATAAAATTTCGTTGTTTTGTCATCAAAAATAGCTTCGTGCGCATTTAATTTCGTTGTTTTAAGAGTTAACCTATTCAACATATAGTCATATAAAAATTTCGTGTGGGATTTAATTTTGTTGAATATTGTTACAAATAAAACATGTATTTGTGCTTTTACAGTAAATAAAAGATGTTTTGAATATAGCTGGTTTACAGTAATTGTATGACTTGTCCATAACATTGAAACACCAAACTCTGACTAAATTTTAAAACACAAGAATGTGATACCTGCATGATGAATTCCTAGAAAAAAATTACGCATATTAGATCCTCCATTAAATTTCATTTTATAATATTACTGTATACAGGGTTATTTTCGCCCCTTCTTATTTTCGCCCTTTCACACTTGCGAACAATTTTGCCCCGTTTTAACGCCCTGTCATAGTTTTGTTTAAGAAATTATACTGTATTCTTTGAATTCGCCCTGTTTTAAATTCGCCCAAATGATAGTAAGGCGAAAGGGGCGAAAATAAAACGGGGGCGAAAATTTCCCTGTATACAGTACCATAAATTCAATTACTGCTACTCCACATACCTTCACAGATAAGTCAATACTAGGAGGCTTTTCCTTGTCTTTATCCCTTGCCCTATCTTTCTCTTTTTCTCTGTCCTTCTCTCTCTCCCTCTCCCTTCGCCTCCGCCTTTCTTCCTCTCTTTGCCTGCGCTTTTCTTGTTCTCGTCTCTTGCGTTCTTCTTGAATTTTCTACACAAACAAAAGTATGCATGTTCACAAGCATGGTAAAAGCATTTCTGTTAAAAGAGTATATATATAAATCAAGGCAGCATTCACTTCCGTTTTGCAACAAACCTGATATTTTTATGTACCATATGTTAATCTGTAGCATTCATGACTATACGCCAGTGTATGGTGTTGTCAATAAATGAATTGAATATACAAGTATTTCTCAATCTGGAATTATTTTGAACTAGTAACACATTATTTCCTACCAAAATATTTGCCCTTTTCTCTTCTTTACGTTTCTTCAGATACTCAATTAAAGGAGTAGAAGTTTTCACACAGCCATGGTTTGCTAAAATCAAAACAATTTTAGTTTCATTAAGTTTTTCATATAATTAATAAACAGTTTTTATTAACTGCCTTGAGTTCTTCATGACACAAAATGAATATTTTTCTAAATGACATTGAACTTAAGTAGAAAACTTTAGGTCAAGTTATGTTGGTAACAATCTTTTGGTTCATTTGGAAGCACTTTGAAATTTTTCTGAAGCTTTCAATGATTCTCTTTTACAAAGTCATGGCCTGGATATGATCAGATGGACAGACAGACAGAAGGTCAAGGTGATAACCAAATCTCCCCCCAGAAAACATCATTTACTGGGATTTTATGATCAAAACAATTCTATGCAAACTGCAACTGTACCTTTATTTTATCACAACTTTTATATTGAGATTTAACCAGTATCAAAATCTCTGCTTTATAAAGAAATTTCTGACTTACATTTCATTTCTCTCTCCTTGGCCTCAAGTTCCTCCAGGTATTCATCAATAGTTTTAGCATCTTCATTATCAGGGGATTCTAACCACTCTTTGAATTTTACATAATCTGCATCTGTTAGATACAAAATTACTAGTACAGTAAAACCTGTCTAATCCGACATGCACTGGGAGACAAATTTTGTGTTGGAATAGGCAGTGTGTCAGATTGCACAGTGTAAGAAGAGGGTACAGTTTCAATACAAATTAAGCCCTATATTTTCTTAAATTTGAAAGTGATATAAAAAATGAAATTTCAGTCTTTCTGAATTATAGGAATTCCCTGCAGTAAGAATACACAAACCGTTTTTCTCATATGACCTCCTAAATGCTAATTGTGACGTCATTAACTTGTACATTTTCCCGTATTTTCTTAAAAAGTTGCAGAAGACATCAATTTTCAGTGGAATTTTCTTTCAGAAAACATACTCTGCCACCGTCGCCCAGAAAGATTTTGAGATATGTGATTTTTCATAGCATTTTACATAATATATCCAAAACTTAACGCGGGCGACGGTGGCAGGCATTATTTTCTAAAAGAAAATTAGCTCAGAAATGAGTCATTTTGGGGCTTTTCTGCATCAAACTTAGAAATGTACCAAATTAATGACGTCATATTTCCATAAAGGTCCTCCTTAATGCAATATTCTATGATGATTTATCATATTCATCTACTCGACTATTGTTAAAGCCAATTTCATAACTTTTTAAGAACATTAATTTTTTAGGGCACAATAAAGCTCAAACTGTACCCTCTTCTTAACATGAAAATTAGTCAAATGGGAAAGAAATTTTAGGTCGGAATTTACAGTGTGACGGATTGCACAGGTGTCGGATTAGACAGTTTTCACTGTATTTAGAAAAACAACTATCAACAACAAAACAAACCAACAAATTCATATACATGTATATTATCAGTCAAATGTCAAAACTTTTCTAGAAATGCTGAATATATGAACATGAAACAGTCTCTTATAAATAAATGAAATCACTGAAGTAGTTTAAAAAGGAAAATAATTTAATAAACTATATAGAATATTTATATCTGTGATAATTTAAACAACATGAACAATAAGGCTTTATTATCAATGTCTCCTCCTCCCCACTTAAAGAAAGGTTGGTGGGTAGCTAAACAAAATAAAATTAATGACAAAAATTAAAATTTATAAACATAAACCCCTCCTCTTCTTTCTTATCATTTTTTATTCCCAATTTCAACAGTGTTCAAAGCTTGTTTCTACACAGAATACAAGTTATTTAGGCATTAAAAATTGCAAATAGATATATAAATATATATTGGTAGCTGAGTGGAATACATGTACTTCTTTTGTGTTAAACAAAACAACAAAAACAAAGAACTAAAAAAAAAAACTGAAATTTTGCTTATTTTAATTGCTTCTGGATCCCACATCCTTTCATGATGAAACCCCGTAAAGATTTTTGCTGTATATTTTTAGCAAGTAATTGCTTCTATTTTTCTTAAAAATAAATAAATAATAAGAAAATGTAAACAAAACAGTATTCCCCCAATTTTGAAACGTAAAAATTAATCAACACCATTTTATGAGAAAGTAAACTGCCATTTAGTAGAAATTCAAATTCAGAAATCAGTATAAGGAATTATATTAAAGACAGATATCCCCCTTTCTTCAGAGTGTTTTAAAATAACCTTGTTCCAATGTTCCCTTCTTTAAATCTGGTTTCTTTGATTTTCTTTTTGGAACTTTCTGGAATGGAGCAAATTCCACAATTGCAGGATACTCATTTCCTACAATAATGACAATAGATTAACAAACATACAGGCAATCTTAAGGCAATAAAAAATTATACCTTTCCAAGCAGAATAAAATGATATGGTTTATAATTTTGAGAGCTAGTACATATACTAGTGAATGTTTGTATTTGGACAGAAGATCTAAAAATTACTTGGTACACATAATACTTAATCCTTCTAGCCTTATTAACCTACTTCATAATGATATAAAATATATAAGTAATAAAAAATATTAAAAACATGCACAAAAGCATCCTTAGTTTATAAGTACTTCCAACAACAATCATTTTTTTGATTTGTTCAAGATCAATCATACTGTTAAGAAATATTATACAAAAAAAATCTCTCTTTTTCATAGATATATATGCCTGAGCAATTGAACAAAAATTGCCAACAGTTAAGTTATACCTTTGCTGTCAATGAACACATAACCATCAAACTTGTCTCTGAAGATGAAGATTTCTGAGGGATTTGCAAAGTTGAGATAGGCTCTGGAAAATGCATTACTTCCGAGGCTGCAAGACATAAAGAAAATATCCCTGTATTAGCTTATTGACATATATTCCATATTAAACTAGAGGTACTCACTAAATGATACCCCCTGCCTCCCATATGAATATAATGACAGTGTCCATGTTTTCCTATGGGAAACCCAAAACGTGTCGGATCAAAAAGTACAATAGGAGGTGCACAATGGCAATATGTAATAAAGATTCTGTGAAAGTTTCATTCAATTTCATTCAGTGGTATAAGGAGTTGCGGATTAAAAAGCCTTTGCCTTCAGATGGGTACCCAACAATATATCAATGCGTAACAGACGGACATACCGATTAAAGCTATATACCCTCCCGTTTTTATAAACAAGCGGGTCATTTAGAGGTGTGGGAAACCCTAATTACTGTATGTACAAGTGCATGAGCATTTTAAAAAGCATTAATAAATAAGCTAAAAAATATTTAAAAATATACTTCAAATTACTCCACTTTGCAGTTACCCTAATTGTTACATTACCATTGCAGTTACTTTGTTAGAAAGATTACAAGCATACTTGTGTCTCTCCAAAATTCTTATAACATAAACGACATGCCAGAGGGCCTTCTATCAACGGTAATATATCAACAGATTAGTGACCATCACATCAGATCAGAGAAGCTGCAGGTAGACTTTGTGGGAGAAGTACAAAAAATGTAACGTGCTAAGCATCAACACATCAATCTATATCTTACATGGACACCAACTGGAGCATATCCCCTCTGCAAAATATTATATACATGAAATATGCAGATAACATCAAATAGAAATTTACAAATCACTAGTGTGTGGAGTTCCCTTTATTTTAAAAAATCGTAAAGGGTTATGTCCACAATAGATACCACAACACCTCGCTGTAACAGGCTAAACCAACTGGAATGGCCATCACTAGAGAGACGTTTATGCCAATCTGTAAGTCCATCTTACATACTGGCATAAATTTTTATTTCAAAGCAGCATTTTCATCAAATTGTTAAGCACACCTGTGGCAAATTTGGCCAGTAGCCGCTTTTCAAGCGGAAAAAAAAGCACTTCAAATTACTCAACTTTGCAGTTAATTGTTACATTACCATTGCAGTTACTTTGGTTACAAGCATAAAAACAAATCAAATAGGTGGACCTCTAAAAACATTAGAAATGCAGAGAAATTTCAGTGTTTTCCCTTTATTTTAAAGTAAAGGGTTAGAGATCAGCTGTAACAGGCTAGGGGCTGAGGTTTATGAACAGAATCTCTGTAGATCTTACCACAAATTTTTATTTCAAAGCGGCATTTTCGTCAATTGAAGCAGTCAATTTGGCCAGTAGCCACTTCTTAGGGAAAACACTGAATTTTCCCAAAAGTCCATAAAAACAAATTAAATAGTGCTCTTTGTTATGATTGGGAAAACAGAAATATCCGAAGACAATTCAGTGTAAATAATGGCATAACAATTGGTATGAAAAAATTTCAGTCAGCATTTGACCCAAGGATAGTTTAATTATAGTCATATCTTACCTCATGTCTGCTTTTACGAAGTAGAAGAAATCATGTTCAGGCAAAGGTGAAATCTGTTCAATCAAAGACTCAGGGGTAAGACTTGGGGGTAATCTTCTTATGACTACCTACAATTAAACACCTTTATATATTAATATTTACTTGGTTTGAGGGCAACATTGATTATGTTAAAACAGGGATGAAATATATGTATAACGTTATCTTATGATTTAATATGTTTCAAGATTACAACATTGTAATATTTGACAGGAAGCTTTAATATTTTTGTTAAAATACATAATTACAAAAGTATTGGAAATCACCCCTTCATTTTTTTATTGATGCATTGAAAATAAAACATTGTTCCTTAATTAATCAATGCACTTTTTACATTTCCTTTTCCATGTTTGAATTTGTGTTCCTTAAGTGCAATGGACACTACAGAAAACATAAATTACTAGGAACTATTTTTCAATTTAGGGATAATAAATACAGATATAGGTGACTAGATTATAATTAACATCACAAGACTGACTTTTCAGCATATCAGCATTGGAATTTCTTAGTTGGTATCTTCTTTTTTATTTGAAGTATTGAGGTAATGATTGTTATTTACATGAGAATGCAATTTACTTTGACTTAACAAATACTAATATAATATTTTACTATATGTACTACATGTAATAATAATTTGAATTCTGTAAATCTTCGAAATACTAAGGGCAGAGAAGCTTGGAAATGATTTCATTTAAATACAGTGTAATACAGTGTATTACGGTAATTCATGAAGCATTTCATTTGTATCAAGAAACACGAATATGTATGGTTGGGCTGAGATTCAAACCCAGGACCCCTGCATCACCAATTAGGTGCCCTACCTACTGAACTACATGTACCCAGGTTTATATCCAGAAACCAAATCATCACAATAACTACGTTCTCATTTGGCAACTAAATTAAATTAGTGCTTTATTTTTAGAGTGCAACAGCACAGCAAATGAAGTCTTGATTTTTATCTCAAATATTTGCAGTTATTTCAATAGTAGATAGAACATTCTATTGTTAAAATGATATTGTCATATGGACCTGGTTTAAGGATAGAATTCCGTGTATTTGCAATGTAGCAAAATAAAGGCGGGTAAAAAAAATTGAACACAGTGCATTTACTAGGAATATTCCAGAGAGTTTTTAATGTAAACATGACAGGTAAATTTGAAGAATAATTGGGAGAAAATTAGTTAAATTTTCCTCTTTATATGGATTATTTTTTGGGATAAAAGGCATATACAATCTTAAAAAGGTTTGTTTTGATTCATTTAGTAGTTATTTTCAGTGCAACTCCTTTTGTATTCTTCAAAATCATTTTAAAGCAAATCTGCTCTGTTTTGCTACATTGCAAATGTATGGTACATAGCCTGTTTACAGTGGTGAGGGCTTGTCCCTAGACACAGTTACAGATCATTCAAACTAACTAATAGCCACTTGAATAAGTGTCTGTTATCTATCTTTTTCTTTTTTAATCTTTTTTCACTACAACTTCTGGTGAAGATCTGATAAGAAAAACGATAGATCAGAACTGCTGAATTAACATAAAATCTATTTAAAGAAGTTTACCTGTTTACCACTAGGACACCATCAAAACTGAAAATGCTATGGTCTATGAAAGAAGACCACGGACAGGAAATGCAAAATATCCTTTAAAATGAACAAATATTCACAGAATCATACTAATCTATATATTATTAAAGTATAATTTTGACATCTGAAGGGATTTATACCAAACTTTTTTCAAGTTTCTCATCACTGACAACAGCATTTTACGGAAAAAGGCTCTACGTAATTTAATCTAGAATTAAAATCCACCTTTGTTGGTAATGTTCCTGCATCTTTCCTTCGTTCAACACCTTTACCAACTTTGACAGGTTTATTCTGTGTCATCTTGATACTGTGAAAAATGAGAAAATCCAAAACTGAAACTTTTTACATTTTTAGTCTGCTACTTCCTGTGATTAAAAGCGCATGCGTAATTTATTTATTAAATTGCACCATAAACTATTCGTCTGATTATCGACTTGTTTTTCTCTTTCGTACGCTCATATCAGAGGTCTATTATGATAAGGGACCCGCGATATGACCACTTTTGCCTGTAATTAGGATTATCTGAAAGTCGTATTAAAAATATCATTGATGACGATATCAAAAATCAATTTGATATCATATTTTTAAAAGAATTAAAAAAAAATCATTCCAGTATTTTATCAGGTAAAGGTTGTCCAAACCAAACATAGCGAAAATTAAACTTTTCTTAAATGCAAATTTAATATGTCGGTACCCAAAGTAAGGTCTTCTCACAAGAAATACAACTGCACCATAAAAGCCTGGGCAGCGCACGACCTGTTCAAAGGTTATGGTCAATGATAAGTTTTTGAAAGATTTTATAAGTCAAACTCCAGAGTCAAGGTCAAAGGGTCTAAGTTTTTGGTTTCTAAAGAAATGCTTCGTCGCAAGGATTACATATGGATTCAGTATGAAAGCCGTGGCCCTATAACCCTTCAAATTAAGTAATGGGCAAGGATAAAGTTTTTTTAAAAAAGTATGTCAAACTCCAAAGTCAAGGTCAAAGGGTCAAAGCTGTTGGTATCCAATAAAAGGTCTTGTCACAAGGATTATATATGTGACGCATGAAAGCCCTAGCTAGTCCTTCAAAAGTATGGTCAAGATTTATTTATAAATGTAGGTCAAACTCCAAGGTCAAGGTCATAGCTCGTGTTATCCAATGAAAGGTTTTCTTACAAGGATAACATATGAGAAGTATAAAAGCTCTAGAACTTTCTGCAAAAGTAATGGCCTGTGTTAAAGTTTTTTTTTTAATTACGTTAATCTTATGGGTCAAGGTGAAAAGATCAAAGTTATGACCTTCTAATAGAAGGCCATGGTGGACTTTGAAATTGAATACTGTTCGTTAATATCTCCACATCCTTCATATAATGATATAATATACAGCCACGTAGCATCGTTTTTGAAAGTGGGGGGCCAGCCAGAGAAAATTTTTTTTTTACTTACCCGAAAAAGTTGACAAGCAAAAATACGAAAGCCCAATGTACGAAAGCCCAAAAGCTATTTTGATCTTGGACTATCACAAGTTAAATTTTAAGCTTTCTTGCCATTGAATCCATCTTTACCTTCACAATTTGTCTTTCTCAACGCTGTTCAAACAATTCAAATTTTATGCGAGTTTTCCAAAAGTTAAACTTTGAACAAGATTATTAATTTCGGGGAAAATCAACCCTTTCTGGTGTCCTTTTTGTGCACTCTCTAGAGAATTTTAAATAATTTTATTTTATAGAGATCAAGATCTCAGAAAATTGACAAAATGAGGTAAATTTGTCAATTGTGTCCCACCGCATTTGTGAAAATTGGATAGCAGATTTTCTTTTGTCTCCGTTGGATTCACTGTGGAAATTCGATATCCTATTTTGAGGTTGCACCACGTTGTCATTCCATTGCTTACGAAAACATTGACAATTCAAAGTGTAAAATTTATCTTGTGATACTCCAAGATCAAAAAAGCCTTTTGCTTATCGTTGTAATGAATAAACTTGATGATAAAATCAAAAGAAGGTTGAGGCTAAAGCAAAAGGTTGGTTAAACAGCAAAAGTTTCGCGTTATAACGCGATTACGCGTTTATTCGCGAAAGTTTCGCGTTATAACGCGAAAAATTACTTTTTTTTTACCAACGAAAGTTAGCTCATTGGGCTTTCGTACAAAAAAAACCAAAAAAAGGGATTATTATACTACATTTTCCGTACATCACTAATAGTGGGAGGGGGGACCAGCCTTTCTGTGTACCTTTCCTACAATATAAGTAAGGTTGGGGAAAAAAGTGCCCCCCCCCCTGACAGAAAGACAGCCAGACCTAAAGACGGACGGACACGACAAAAACTATATACCCCGAATTTTCATTTACGGGGTATAAAAAATCTTGAAAAGTAGGAAGGGGTACGTGTTGAAGAAACCTTCGCTGTTGTCAACCACGCTTTCGAGAGTTATCGCACTTTATGCTTGGATTGTCCAGTGTCGTAATATTGATACGACAAATATGCACAGGTAAGACCTGAGTGGGTCGGTCTGTTCCATTGTCTTGGTATATTTATTCGGAGCGAATACACACACAGACAACATTTGCTTTTGCAAGTCTCAAGTGCAGTTTCCGGTTTAGTGACACTTTGTTTTGGTTGCGCCTTCAGCTCATGTTTTAGTTGACTCACTTATGATTGATACGGTATGAGTGTTACACATTATTTTTATTAAAGGAATATGGGATCAAGAGGGGAGAGAAAGATCACAAATGTGGAAGTCTCCGATGTACAGAAACGAAGAAAACCCAGCAAACATTATGTAGGTATATTTTTTTTCAATAGATCTTTAATTTTCTCTGAAATTTTATCAGATAGAAAGACCCTTCGTAAACAGTAGGTGTAACATGTGTCTAGGCCTAGCCTGAAGAGAATATCTGATTACCTAACTTTATATGGCTTTATAAACATCATGATATAGGATTATAGGTACATGTAAGGAATGTAAAGTAAATGGTAGATTTGTGTGTGTAAATTTGCCGAAACTGTTCCAAGATTGATGAAATGTAAGATTGTGGATATTGGTAAAAACACAATTTTTTAACACTCTCTTACCACTTTGACACTCACACAGAAGAGTCTATTCTCTATAGACATGATAGAATAGGTCCGGGCAAAACCCAGGTTGGGGTCCAGGAGGCAAAGCCCCTTGAAGCTCCTGGGTTTTCGTGTATTTTAAGATTAAAACCAGACACAGAAATAGTGGTATTGATTAGTTTATATGTTCGCTGATATTTCATTTATTAAAAGAAAAAAACTTCATATTTGAAAAACAGCATTTTACATAATTTACAAGGAGTCACAAAACCTTAATTGATTTTTATTGACCATTAATTATGAATTTAACCAAAGTTACATAATGATAATGTCATTATTAATATTAGTCATGCCATACTTGGAAAATTGGCTATGCCCCCCCTAAAATCTGCTAGTGGACTTGTCAGTCATAGTTTTGACACAGTGTAATACAGAAATTTAGGTTTCTAATTTGTGACAGACATTCCAAATATTGATAATTTCTCATCTCATCCTTTGTAGGTCTACATTATCCGAGTCACTTGGAATACTAGGACTGTCAATATTATCTACAGACGATACAGCAGGTTCTTTGATTTTCAGGTAATAACTTAGTTTTAGGGAAAACCCGGCATTAAAAGTTCTGATGGGGTAATATTTGCTTGAACAATGACAAACAGTAGTTTATTGCACAATGTGTGATTTATTATGACATAATCTTGTACATGTGCATGTAATAAAAATTGTATGAGAAATAATATTGCTGTAAATTTCTTTTTAAAAAAATCAATATATATAGCCTAAACAAAAGTATTGGTCAGGACCTTTAATATTTGTGCAAGCTAGGCTTTTTAAGATAAGCACAAATAATGGCATTTTTTCAAGTCCTTGTTCAAAGCACAAACTTATTTAATAAGAAAAGTTAATTTTTACTGAAAATTAAACTATCTTTTTTTAGAAACATGTAATTTTGGTTGAAAATTTTTTTCAGTTCACATGAAGAATGAGGCTAAATTTTAAGGAGAATTAGAGATCCTTCACTGCTTTGAAACCAATTTAATTATGTCTTATCATTTAATTTGTTTTTGTACAATAGCACTCATTATTAGAGAAATTCCCAGTAGAATCAGGACAGCTGGACCCTAACCAAAGAGTTATTCCATTTCTCCCAGGTAATATAGGGATTTTAAATTCAAGTCACATTCTATCAACACTTTCAACACACTTTTAAATATATGTATATATACAGAATTGATTTTAAAGATATTGTTAAGGTAGGCAACAGAGGAATGAACTTGGTTGTGGTCATTTCTCATATTAATTAACCATCTAATTTTATACAGGTAAAATATACTTTGGCCGCAGTCAGGTGAGAGAGGTGGCCTTGAAGAGACTAAGTCAGATAGATGATTATTGTAAGGTGAGTTCTGTTGTCATCTTCAGAAGAGGGTTTACTAGCATAGTAATTTTACAGGTAATTGGTTTACTCCCTTCATAAGTAAAATATATTCCTAGTGATTGTCTGTAAAAATACTTTATTTAGTTTTTCATCTTCAGACAGAAGTTAGAACTTTAAGTCTTAAGTCATTTAACATCTTGCACTGTGCAATAGCCTGGGCAATCAAGGGTTAATTCAGTATTGAGGGTATACCAATCAATTTATCAATCAATCAGTCAATCATATAAATATTAAATTATTTTGTATATTTTTTTAATTAAATCCTTTTTTGTAAATATTCAGAGGTTGATTCCAGCAGCAAACACTGCGACTGTTTTTAAGGAAGCATATATTTTTTACAACACCCTAAATGTACACCATAAATATAACAGTACATGTATTGTGTAACCATACCAAGTCAAGGAAATCTATATTTAGACAGGAAGTTTATTATGTACTATGTTAATACAATAAGTTTGAAGAAATATTGCTACTTTTCCTCAAAACTTAAATTAGATTTAAATAACAATTGTTGTTTCTGCCAGACAAGGAAATTTTTTTTTAATTAAAAAGGGGCCTGACTAAGTAAAAAGAGTAAATAAAAAGAGAAAAGGGGGAGACTTATTGTAAGTTATTGAAGAATAATCACATATTATATAAAGTTTTTGGTATCCCCTTGTCATAAAGAATACATATATATTATACATTTCCAATGTTTTTGTGACCAAGGTTAACATTTTTAAAATTACAAATAGCCAAGGTGTACTTTGCATTCTTCTCATAAGGATTACATCAATGCACTGGTTCCGTTTAAAAGTTATGGCATGGTTAAAAAAATCACGTGCAGAGGCTTAAAGTTGTTGACAATGATGGCCTCAAATATACATGTGTGAAATATAAAAGTCTTGTAGCACCGTGTATTGGCAGATAATTTTTAAGAGCATGTAAATATAAGGAATAACTGTCAGATTTTTCGATTTCATGACAATGATCATTTGTTTGGCTTGCGTGATAAATTTATGCATAAACGCCTTCGGTATTTATGCAAATTATCAGGCAAGCCAATCGATTGATCACATCATGAAATGGAAAAATAAGACAGATATTTCATAAATATAATCAGTTATATCTTGGCTTCATGGAAAAGCATATCAACCAAGCACAAAGTAAAATCAAATGATACAAAGTTGAGCTTCACTAAAAGACCAAAGTGATGAGCTTTATACCGTATATAATGGCCTATTACGTTGGTTGTATTTTTTGCAGATATTTTGGAGGGATTTGTCATTGACTTGCCTATAAGTCGGTAGAATTTTTTGCCAGAATTGGTTGACAATTTTATAAATGTAACCCTTTCCCGTGTTTTATATATTTACATTTCAATATTTTTGTTTTAAAAAAATGTACTTTTTTCTCCAATCTTAATCATTAAAAAATAGTTATGCACACTTAAGATTTAAGTAAAACTTGTACTTTACCCATAATCTTTCAACACAAAAATAATTCAGTATAAAATGACATTGTTCAACTATAATTAGTAGGATTGTCTATAAAATGCATTTCGTTGTCCAGAAAAATACGAATTTTTCTATGACTTGCCTATAAGATCGGACACAATTATTTGGACAAAAATTTATGACTAAAAAAAAATGACTTGTAGGCAAATATATACAGTATATCAGTCACCATTTTTGTTTTTTATTCCAGGCTCTGATCAGTTTGGAGGAGAGAATCTCCCAGTGTGATGAGGTGCTGGTTTTAGTTCTTCAATATTTTGTTTTTAGGAGGATGACATCTTAATCCTCCCAAAATAGGACACTTAAGATTTAAGTAAAACTTGTACTTTCCCTTGTCTCTCCACAAAAATAATCTCTGTATAAAATGTGGCAACTATAATTAGTAGGATTGTTTATAAAATGCATTCCCTCCCAGAAAAATACGAATTTTTCTCCTTGCCTCACCTCTGTATTGTGGCAGAAAATTTATGACTTCAAAAAAAATGACTTGTCTATATCCTATATCCCTCATCTTTGTATTTTATGGCAGAGATCAGTTTGGAGGAGAGACTGCTTCCCTGTGATGAGGTCTCTCCTCCCTCACCTCTGTATTGTGGCAGAGGACAAATAAGTACTGCTTCCCTCCCTTGTCTCTCCTCCCTCATCTCTGTATTGTGGCAGAGGACAAATAAGTACTGCTTCCCTCCCTTGTCTCTCCTCCCTTGCCTCTTTATTGTGATATATATGTCTGAAAATGTAGTACAAAGTATATATGTGTCATTGTTTTGTAAAAGAAATTCTAAACACAGGAAGTATATGCTACATCTCAGAATGGGCTATTCTTCCTTGTACAGTGTATAAAAAAAAAGAATTAAAAGAAATAATCACTTGCTGGATACATTTCTTTGGCAAGCTTTTTTTTCTGTGTCACCTGAGTTTACATGCTTGGACTCAGGTGACCTTTAACATGTTTAACTTTTAATTTTCATCTCCATTGTCATGCAGGTGTTACACCTGTTACCCTAATATAATCATTTTGAGTAATCAACAGAAGACCACAAAAATCAAACTGTGATATTTAAAACCCCACCCCCAAAAAAAACCCGTGGAGTTCATAGGCTAAAATCCATATTAAATGATTTTTGGGAGGTTAATACAAAGGCTTTTTAATAAAAAACCCACAGATCCTTAAATAAGTATACATTTTATGACCTCTGGATTCTGCATTCATGCCTAGAGCAGATAAAGCTGAATAAATTGTATGGTGAGAGACTCATGAGACTTGAATATGTAGACCTGCAGGCATGTTGGGTTTTTTTTTCGTGCATTTAGTGCACATTCCTATGTAATAACACATTGTGAAATCTAGTTGAAGTATTACTAAAGTGTCCATTATACAACTTATAACTACAACAAGACTTCCAATCCACGAATTCCTATAAATATTACAAAGCATAAGAATTTTACTGCATTGAACTATTATTGAAGGTATGCTTGCATCTACATTGTACCCATGATAATAAATTTCCACTAAAATTTGTTATACTGTATAAGGTAAATGGCAAAACAAAACATTTCATATGTGCTAAAGGAAATTTTTCTGTATTGAGCTATTTTTTAGCTTCAAAGTTAGACAATTTTTCTATAGCTAGCTATCAAAACAAGTTACCTATATGTTAGTAATTTGAACCTAGTATCAAATTCATCTACTGAGTTTAATGATAGAAGGCACGTAAACAAAGTTCAGGATAGGCATTTTCTCTGTGATATTTAATTAGTACAGGGGAGATAACTTGCCCAGGATATCTACAGTTAACTTGGTCATTCTGCAATAACTTTGAGAGTTTTATTCAATGACATGAATATTTTTAGCTCTACTGGTCAGAGACGATAGTGATGTTTCCATCGGCCATCTGTCTCTCTGTCTGTAAACAATTTTTCATACAATTTTGGTCTGATTTCAATATAATTTGGCACACAAGTAGAGTGCACTAAGATACATTATTCTGTGAATCAGTTTTCAGTTTCGATGAACGGTGTTCCTTGGTTACTGAAAAAAGAAATTTCTGTGAAATCTTTTCAAAATGCTACTCCTCCTACAGATTTGGTCTGATTTCAATATAACTTAGCACACAAGTAGACTACACTAAGATACATAATTCTTTATCTTGGTTTTAAACGGTATTGCCGTGGTTACTAAAAATAGAAATTTCTGTGTATTACTTTCAAAATGCTACAGTCTTGGTCTGGGCATAAGTAGACTTCACTAAGTTACATAATCTGTTTATTCTGTTTTTTTATTTCGATGAACGGTGTTGTTGTGGTTACTAAAAATAGAAATTTCTGTGAAATACTTTAAAAATGCTACTACAAATACAGTTTTAGTCTGATTATGATATAATATGTGGCAGGCAAGTAGACTACACTGAAATACATATTTGTCTTTTTTGTTTTTTTATTTTTTGATGAATGATGTTGCCCTGGTAACTAAAATTGTAAATTCTGTAAAATTTTATTTAAAGCTACTCCTACAGTTGTAGTCTTATTGCAATCTTGCCACAAAAAGAGACTTAATCAAGGAACATTATTCTAGTTATTGCTTTTGCAAAGTTTCAAGTCTTAAGCTACTTTTCTCTTCCTTTGATATAAGTACAAACCAATAGATCTGCTCTAACAGTCTTGAAAGAGACTTCTGGTAACTTAACTTAATTGTACTTAGATAAATACAACAAAAAAAATTAGTATATTTTCCCCATTTTATTTGTTGGAGCAACCTAGTTAACTTAGAATAATCTAACTGTGTCTCCTGACAAACCCTCTCCACAGTTAGAATATCTATGGATATATGCTGAATACTGTTATATATGTAAAATTATCAGACTGTTTGAGGCCCGTTAGGGCCGAAAACTGTCTGATAATTTTACATATAGAATAGTATGAGGCATATATCTTACTTAAAACATTGCCATTTAAATGTCCAAAAGTTACCTGGAGGAGTCCGATAATAACACAATGGGAGTTTAGGCATCAATTGTTTTTTAACCGTCTAATAAGTAGACAAAAGAAAAGAGACAGTAAAAACAGTGGGTGAACTCTTGTTTCATTTCATTCATTCAATGGCAGTCGTTTAGATAAGCAAGACAGGGGTCCGGTGGGGAAGGATTTCCTTTTTATTTTGGAACATTTTTATTATTTTGTGCATAAATTGACCTGATACAGAATTTTTTTGGTGGAATTATTACCGCCACCATGGAAAGTAAAAATGCGGATTTTCATCCTGGAGTTTTAGTTTATATAATGGAAATTCTCAGGTTTTACAAGTGCAGCCATTTAGTAACATCCGTATAAAATAAATAGATTTGCCGATTATTTCTCAGAAATGGATTTAAATTCGCTTATTCAAAGTGCTGTATCAAAAACACTTTAAGATGGGAAGTATTAATTTTGAGGACGGTTTAAACTCGATTTTTTCATGGATTTGCTATTTTGTAGCAACTAAATTTCTTTGCGATTGCTTTCCCTGATTTTTTTCCTTTTTTTTTGGGTGGGAGGTGGGGATGGGGGTTAGGAGGGTGGACATATACCACTCTTCTTTTGGTTTTTAAATACCGTCCGATTTTGTTATCATTGCCATCCGATAATATATTATCAGACTGGTAATTATTATTATCGGACGGCTCTGCAAGAACAAAGGCATATATATATAGTTATGTTATATAGCAGAATATTGCAAAATCGCTCCAAAACAAGTTTTGAGAAAATAATTGGTTCCATTAAAAACGACTATCAAATTAATATGGGAACAAACCCTTTAAAGACTGTGGATATCTTTTACCCAAAAACTCAATCCTTATCATAGTAAAACTTGTCTTGTATGAACACGGATATTGCGAATTCATGGATATACATGTAGCGGTTATCTTGGATCCCAGCCATATAAATTTAACGAATTCCTTGTACGGATATAACGAAATACGGATATATAGCAAAGTAATTTCATAGGTCCCAGTGACTTCGCAATAATTGGGTTTTACTGTATAAATTGAAGAATTAAAAACTTTTCCATAACATTTTAACTTTAAAAATACACGCCATGTGAGGCATGTTGATGTTTGAAACTCTTTGAATTAAATTTCATAGTAAATGCACTGAGTTAGAGTTCCATCTCCAGTGTTTTTCTTTGCTAAATTAATTCCCAATGCACAGAACCCATTCTGTTGTTAAACCGAGTCCAGAGAACATTTATTTTAGTGATAAAACACTCTGCTTAGGTGCAACCGTAACATACAATTATATAGACGATGCATATGAAGAAAAAATGGGATGTGAGTTAAGTATTTTAAAATTTTTAAAGATTTTTAAGACATAAAATTTCTCAGTGAAGAAGGAAGGAAGAAAAAAATTTCTTTAAATAATCAGAGAATAACATAGCCCAACAATGAAATAAGCATATTTTTGCAGATAATAATGCTTCATAAGAGGATTATGCTATTTGTGGGTAATTTATAGTGATTTTTTCCAGCAAGCAACTAGCCTATGCAACAATTCATAATTACAGTCTACTTAATTTCAAAAGTTTATTTGTATTGAATTCAACACATGATTCCCTCTTATTTAATTGATTTCTTGCAAATTATGAATGTGGATTGAATTTATAAACTTCTTTATTTATGCTTGATGTAGTAAGCATTTAAAACAATGCAGCAGGAAGATCGAGAGTTAATTTCATAGTAGTTTGAGAAGGAGGATAATAATATTACATGATGCAGTACATGTTCATATGTAATACACTAGAAGTGCTTTGTACTTCACATACTAACTATAAAAACAATACACACTTTAAGTACAAACTTATGTAAGAAACAAGGAAGACTAGAAGTTCTATATGTTTGTGATAAATAGGGGGCAAGGAAATTGACTATTACAACTGTTATCTTAAAATCATTTTTATACAGTCTAGAATGATATTTGAAGGAGGAGTGATAAAAGAATTCGCTGATAGGTCATTTTTTGATGATGGCATACCTTATGAATGAAAATGGTTTGAGAGCATAACTGTGAATGGAAAATACTTTAAAGCTCTGTTGAATCTTTGCCATCAAGAGGGGCACTTTTAGAAGGCAAAAGGTTTTTGAAATATTGCAAGGAAATGAAAGTTTTACATATACACACAGAACATATGAATTTTGACCTTGACCTTTGACCATTTGATGTCAAAATCAATAGGGGTCTTCCTTAGGCTACAGGGAGTTGTGGTTTAAATTTCACCGCAAAAGCTCAAAGGTTTCTTGAGATACCATGTACTAGAAACAAAAGTGTTTTTTTTTTTTTTTTAACCTTGACCTTTGACCTTTTTATCTCAAAATTGATAGAGGTCTTCTATAGGCCATAGAGAGTTGTTGTGTAAAATTTCATTGCAAAAGCTTCTCGAGATATTGTATTGAAACAAAAGAGTTATATATAGCCAGAAATACTGATACAAAAAGGGGAGGATCTTAGTGCAATGAAAGATTTTAATGTCTGTGGCAAAACCATTTAAGACTGAGAACTGCAATATAGACATGTGGTTGTTACTATTCAGTTTGATAACCAGTGACCTTATTATGGTTTTGGTGATAAGTACACATTTCTAGGATTCAATGGAAATAGCTAAGACCTAAATCCTTGTTTTAATGTCATAGCATTTTATCCTTTAATACCAGGTTATAGAAAGATGAAAGGAAACCTAATGCCAAACATTTAAGCAAAATATACTTGTTCTGATAATGATAAAATATGACATAGTTACAGATCAGCCTTAAAGAGACACCTAACATTAGACATACATGGACCTTACATAGATAACTATAAGGATAATTTGATCTGTCTTTCTTCATGTCTCTCTGTGCCTGACACATTGATGTGTTGACTTTTTCCATATCTCTGGAACATGTTAAACATTTGGACAGTCCATGACCTTATTAATTAGGTATTTACTATTCTGAACAAACATTGACCCTATAGTGAGTCAGCTAATGAACTTATCATGTTGCAATGTTTTCCCCCTTATTTACCTGTAAACAGATACATTAAGGTGTCATGAACAAATTTCATTTAAGATTATTTATTGCAAGTATGAAATTGGTGACTGTCAGGCTTATCGTATACTGTACAAAATTGAATTAAAAATGCATTTTTTGTAATATTAATTTTGATTTGATTGGTAAATATTCATCTTTGAAAAACATATGATGTATTTAAGTTACCATATGATCATTATTGAAATAAATTCATTCATTTAACAATACCTCAGGTGGATGAAGTTCTATTTGTCTCATTATAAATGCAGTGTGACCATGCAGGCATCTTTTCTCAAGTCATATGTGCTTCTCTTTCATTGAGGACTCTATATATGTCCTGGCTTAGATAAGGCCATCAAACTTGAAAGAGATGTGAAATTGATCCATTTAAATTTTGAAATGTCCCCTAAAGGATACAGGTGCAAACAAAGATCTCCCTTCTGTCTCACTTATTTTAGGTCTTCAATGGATCATAAAACAATGTTACTTCCCTCTTGAACAGAATCTTGGCTAATCCCATATTTTTTTTCCTTGTGACAATGCGTTTTTCTCTTTGATTACATATCGATAGGAAACTGCTGTGCGACATATCAGTTCATCACTTGATGGTGACAAAAATATTTTAACAGTTTTAAAATAAGAGACCATGTTGACTGCTGTACATCGAATTAAGGATAGTGTTTCAGATACTGTTAGCAGAATTCGTAATTCTTGGGCAGTGGACAATATTCATGTTCAGTAAGTACATAGGTTTCTTTAGTTAGATTTTTTTCCAGCAAAGTTGTGAGGTCCATATACTTGGAATTTTTTAGGACTAGAAGGTTTAAGGTTAGTGTGAATTATTTAAAACCACATATATTACACATATATCTGATTGTAAATAAATATTAAAAATGTTTGCATATGGAATTACAAATATATTTTTACAATTGGTTAATATTAGTATATTTTTTTGAGTCATAGAAGAATCTTGTCGTTTCTTTGTAACAAAATTGTACACCATGTTACTTTTACCTGCTAGGGTAGGAAAAGGTTACTTAAACTCTTTGTTTATTCAATAAACACTTTCACTGGGGTCCTACAGGTACTTGAATTTAATACTGGGACAGACACCATATCATAAAAGTGGGTAAAATATCTGTGAATGGTATTGAAAAGTTAGGTAATATAAGATTATTTTGTCTATATTATGATTACTTTTCTCAAATTTCCTAAAGTGTTAATTAAGTTTATATGAAGCAAGAAAGACATATTAAATGATAACTTATACTAATGGAAAGTCACAAAAAATACATATTTCAAAATTAAAGATGAGCTCATACCAGGGATGGTCATAAATAACATTTTCTCTACCTGATGTGTTTAACTTTATAACTGTGTCAAGTATATGTTGTCTTGTTGGAGTTTCTTTTAGCAAAACACATTAAGATTCAGGCAGAATTTCAAAACAATAAAATTCAATTTACTGATAAAATGGCACAAGTCATGACAAGTATCATGTTACCCTCGCATACACAAAATGTAACCTGCAAATGCTGATTCAGAAATGACCATGTCCATATACTGTAGACCTTTTTTCGCATACACAATAACAATTTCTGTTTAATCTGCAAATGCTGATTGTCACTATATGCCTTACATTTATATTAAGTACGCTTGGATTTCCGTCCCGCGTATATATTTTACATATTTAATCAGTCAAAAAAAAATTGAACAAGTTGTGGAATTTTTATAAATTTGACAAAGGTAATCTAAATAGCTAGAGTACACATACAAGTATAATTTTGATTCAGTTATTTAAATGTGATAAATTTACTCACAATTTTATATTTACTTTGGTACAAATAAGGATGTACATTTATTAATTGAATATAGCCATTGAATGCGCACTAAGATGACCTACCAGTTCCAAATTGCATTGTGCATCGATCAAGCCAATAATTGATGATCGAGATATGCAATGTGAAGATGTTTGCGGTATACAGGCAGGTTTTCTTTCAGTCTGTGGTTGGCAAAGACCAGACATACAGTTTGAGATCTTTCAAATGTTAAGTCACCTGCACAAACACTGGACTAAAGGTTGTCAGAAATTGATCCTTGTCCATCATAAGCTGATCGTCATGCATTACTTAATATTGAGTGACTCAAGCCTGAATCTAGTGGCCATGCATTTATATCCTGAAAAGTTAATACCACACTCTAATTATACCTAGTTGTGTTCATTTGTTTGTGCTTAGATGCTATTTTCTGTGTTATGATTCTTTTGAGGATGACAATTTTTGTTGCTTTATAATGAAGTCTGCAGATTCTTCAAAACTTTCTCTTGGAAGTATTTTTACTCGGATTAAAAATTCGTTTTCCTCAGATCCGTAAGTTGAGTGTTTGCATTAATTTATGTCAGTGAAATTGAGTATTTATTTCTCTTGCTTGTTTACAAGTTTTTCGTCTCCTCTTTTGAGTAGCTTCTTCATAAATGTCATATGGTTTTCGTATAGACCAAATTATTGTCTGCTTTGCTCATCCACTGAGTGCTAAAATTAAGTTCCTCCTTGTAATAAGAGTTAAATACCATCATGTTCATAAAGGCAATTAATTCTACATAATTTCTTCCTTCTTCCTATGTGTTTACTACATAAAGTAAAATCATTAAAATACTAGTTATATAATTATTCAGTGTATTACATAAAAGTTTATTTTCTATTGAATAATTTGTAATATTCCAGAATTATTGCTTTCTGCAAAGTAGGAAGATTAAATGCCCATTTTGCAGACAAATTAAATTAATTTCTTTCTTTGGAAATGGGCATTTATAGCTTTTATATCAATAAAAATGAAGCAAATATTACATGTAAGGTAGATTTTGATGTTGATACAAGGTCATTACAACAAGTTCAAGGTTACAAAGACTTCTTATGACTTATAGGGTGTGTCATGATCTATCCCTAAAGATCATTTTGGTAAATTCAAGGCCACTGACAGAAAAAAGAGGAAAATTCATATCAGGTTCATTAATTATTAATTTCTGTATTAATAAGAAACAATGGATGTTTATATTTTACTCAAAGATTTTTTATAATCAAAGCATGTGTCTTTTTCTACAGCAAAGTCATTTTTGGAAGTTCTAGGTCATGACAGTTATGAAATTGCAAATAGCAAAATATGAAAAATTGCATTAGGGGTATAATTTCATGAGCTAACTTGCTCATAGTATCTCCAGTATGCAACTAGCACAATTTATGAGAAACTGTTCAGAGTAAGTTGTCTGATTTGCTTATGAAAATATCTTCTGAAACAAGCATTCTGAGAGTATAATTGCCTAAGCAATACATGTCCCTTACCGGTGTAGCATAATATTTTGATACCGCGATATATTGAACCCGGGTTCAAAATATCGCATAATATTTTGAACCTGGGTTCACTTTTTCGCTGCGATATATTGAACCCCCTTATAAAATATTGAACCCCTACCTTTTTCATTTAAGAGGTAGGGGGTTCAAAATATTATGGCCATAAAATATTGAGTCCCCCTGCCCATTTAATTCTACATCTAGGGGGGTTCAAAATATTATGGCCATAAAATATTGAGTACCCCTGCTTATTTAATTTACAGGGAGGGGGGTTCAAAATATTATGGCCATAAAATATCGAATCCCCCTGTCCATTTAATTTATGAGGGAGGGGGTTCAAAATATTATGGCCATAAAATATTGAATTGATGAGGGAGGGGGTTCAAAATATTATGGCCATAAAATATTGAGTCCCCCTGTCCATTTAATTTATGAGGGAGGGGGTTCAAAATATTATGGCCATAAAATATTGAGTCCCCTGCCTTTTCAATTTATGAGGGAGGGGGTTCAAAATATTATAGCCATAAAAAATTGAGTCCCCCTGCCCTTTTCATTGATGAGGGAGGGGGTTCAAAATATTATGGCCAGTGGAAGTGTGTAAGTGGGAGAAGGGTTTTAGATTATTTGCAGGCATATTATATCATCATTCCCTTTTCAAAACAGTTCAATAGGGTGACTGAATAATTTATCGCCATAATATTTTGAGCCCCCCTCCCTGTAAAATTAAATGGATGGGGGACTCGATATTTTATGGCCATAATATTTTGAACCCCCTCCCTCTTAAATTTAAAGGGCAGGGGGAATCAATATTTTATGGCCATAATATTTGGAACCTCCTCCCTGTAAAAATAAATGGGCAGGGGGATTCAATATTTTATGGCCATAATATTTTGAACCCCCTCCCTGTAAAATTAAATGGGCAGGGGGATTCAATATTTTATGGCCATAATATTTTGAAACCCCTCCCTCTTAAATTTAAAGAGCAGGGGGGTTCAATATTTTATGGCCATAATATTTTGAACCCCCTACCTCATCAATTAAAAGGGCAGGGGGAACCATAATATTTTGCCCCCCTCCCTCTAAAATTAAATGGGCAGGGGGACTGGCCATAATATTTTGAACCCCCTCCCTGTAAAATATATATTTTATGGCCATAATATTTTGCCCCTACCTCTTAAATTAAATGGACAGGGGGACTCAATATTTTATTGCCATAATATTTTGAACCCCGGGTTCAATATTTTATAGGGGGGTTCAATATTTCGCAGCGATATTTTGAACCCGGGTTCAAAATATCGCAGGGTTCAATATATTATATGACACCGGGATCCCCTTTTCTGTTTAGGATGTCATATTATAGTATCTTTTATATGAAAAAGTTCCCCTGTGGACATTTTGGTAATTACTTAATTATGAAAATTATGATTGAAATGTCTTGGAATGAAGTCGATCTGCCTTGCAAAGAAAGACTTGTTTCCCTGCCATCAGATATTTATACATGCATACTTTGACCAGAGCAGCTCATTTTACACAGACGGACAGACAGACTCAGAAGAAACCTATAGTCCCCTCTGGTTTCACTGGTAGGGATTTCATTAAATGTTTTTTAAATGCAAATTTATGAGAGCAAATGTACATGTATGATAATTTTTTTATGAAAGTATATACAGTTAAATCTTGCCATCTCAAACTTACAAATTGAGTCTCAATTTCAGACTAGAGAGGGCTGTTAACAATTATAAGAAATGGTTTGTTGTGGAAATTATAAAAAAAAATATGGTAGGAGCACTAGATTAGTAATACAAATGTATTTTGAGATGGCAGTTTGAAAACACACAGAGAAAAAAATTGATGAAACAGCACATTTTTTATGTGCAAAGACAGTTTTTTTTTTTCAATGGTTGGCACTGTATCTAAGCTCTCCAGTGTATATTTTTGTCAGAGAGCTACAGTTCTGCAGCTAAGTGATTCAGTGTTATATTCAAAGCCACCCACTTCAATGTTAGTCATGAAGTGTTTTGACTGAGAGACGAGTCCTTATTAATGATAATGAGATGGTAAAAAGTCGGATTTTATCAGGGGCAGTTTGTGGTTTTTGTTATAAAGTGGACATAAAAGTCGCCTGGTATTGGCAATATTATTGAAGGTGATCAGTCAGCTTTATGACATTTGTATGCATTAAGTACTTGCACTGATTGAATAATGTTGAGAAAAAACTAATATAGTCCAAATTTACTTCACTTTCTTAATAATTTAAAATAATTTTACATCAGGCATTCTATGATGTTTCATTCAAAAATTGTGTTTTGAAAATGAAAATATTCATGATAATGATACAAAGTTTATCAGAAACAAAATATACTGTATTCTTTTTCTTCATGCCCAATGAGT